ATAATTAGCGACACTTGATAGGAAGGGTTAACTGGATGCCATATAATCAGCGACACTTGATAGGAAGGGTTAACTGCATGGACCCCATATAATCAGCGACACTTGATAGGAAGGGTTAACTAAAACCCATATAATCAGTGACACTTGATAGGAAGGGTTAACTGGACCCAATATAATAAGCGACACTTGATAGGAAGTGTTAACTGGACCCCATATAATCAGTGACACTTGATAGGAAGGGTTAACTGCACGGACCCCATATAATCAGCGACACTTGATAGGAAGGGTTAACTGGATGCCATATAATCAGCGACACTTGATAGGAAGGGTTAACTGGACCCCATATAATCAGCGACACTTGATAGGAAGGGTTAACTGGATGCCATATAATCAGCGACACTTGATAGGAAGGGTTAACTGGATCCCATATAATCAGCGACACTTGATAGGAAAGGTTTACTGGGTCCCATATAATCAGCGACACTTGATAGGAAGGGTTAACTGAAACCCATATAATCAGCGACACTTGATAGGAAGGGTTAACTGTAACCCATATAATTAGCGACACTTGATAGGAAGGGTTAACTGGATGCCATATAATCAGCGACACTTGATAGGAAGGGTTAACTGCATGGACCCCATATAATCAGCGACACTTGATAGGAAGGGTTAACTGGATGCCATATAATCAGCGACACTTGATAGGAAGGGTTAACTGGACCCCATATAATCAGCGACACTTGATAGGAAGGGTTAACTGGATGCCATATAATCAGCGACACTTGATAGGAAGGGTTAACTGGATCCCATATAATCAGCGACACTTGATAGGAAAGGTTTACTGGGTCCCATATAATCAGCGACACTTGATAGGAAGGGTTAACTGAAACCCATATAATCAGCGACACTTGATAGGAAGGGTTAACTGTAACCCATATAATCAGCGACACTTGATAGGAAGGGTTAACTGGACCCCATATAATCAGCGACACTTGATAGGAAGGGTTAACTAGACCCCATATAATCAGCGACACTTGATAGGAAGGGTTAACTGAAACCCATATAATTAGCGACACTTGATAGGAAGGGTTAACTGGACCCCATATAATCAGTGACACTTGATAGGAAGGGTTAACTGAAGCCCATATAATCAGCGACACTTGATAGGAAGGGTTAACTGGACCCCATGTAATCAGCGACACTTGATAGGGAAGATTAAGTGGACCCCATATGGACTTACGAACTCTTCTAATTGTGTTTTCCGTACAGCTAAATCCGTGTCGATGCAATATACGGAGTTGCCCGTTATGTATATTTGGACACGCAAACATTGTGTTTATATAAAAACAAATTACGAACCTTCTCTCTCCAACCACAACAGTTTTTCATGTCATGTATGCCCTTATGATGTTTTTGTTGATCCCTATCAGATGTATGTGTGTCTGTGCTGTGCTGTGCTGTGCTGTGCTGTGCTGTGCTGTGCTGTGCTGTAGTACACTCTTGCTTGACAACTGCATGAGGATCATAATTGAATGTGGCAACATAATCCAGCTATATGGCGGCATTCTGTAAATAACTGAGTCTGGGCCAGACAACCCAGTGATCGATAGCATGATCACATGTGTCAACTAAGTCTGTGAGCCTGATCACCTGATCCCGTTAGTCGCCTTACGAGAAGCATGGGTTGCTGAAGACAAATTCTAACCTGGACCTTCGAGGGTATCTTTTGGTAAGATAGGCTGCCATTATTCGTTGGATCACACGATAACACACAAGTAAACATACCTGATGAATAATAAACGAACTCAAATCTTTGTGTTACACTATTTTCCGCGATTCCGATTGGACGACGTTGAATCAGGTTAAATGGCCTCCACACGCCAAACCAAAAGTCAAAACGACAAAAAGGCCTCACGAACAAAACTGCCAACACAAATATTGACAACAAACACAATTGCTTGTACGCACATATATGTTATAGCTCCTGTCCCAGCAGATGGATTGGATGTATGGAGGATGCAGACTTCTATATTCCCCGTCAAGATCCAATCTACTATCTAGAGGAAACCCTTCCTGACCAGACATGTCGGCTGCCTTCCGAGTCAATATACTCTGTTTGTGTGAAGTGTGTGTGTGGAGTAATGCAGCGTTTATTGCATCACGCACCATCAGAAATAGATTAAAACAATGGCGGGAGCTACCGGTAGGGCAGGACATCTCTACCTATATAACACCTGTCGCCATCACTGATCTTCAGTGAACCAGTGATAATTGTCACAACTATTTGTCCCTTCCTGCCAAACGAAATTTGTTTCTGAAGTTAGTTAAGACTGGGTATTCTTTTGCATTGACGTTCGATTTTCTTTTTTCTAAAAAAACCCAAGTCGGTGAAATGTTACATGTCATAGATGTATCGGACACTTTTGGCAATGTCCACGACGTCCACTTCGTTACCGCTTTGTCATTCGAATAGTCAGTATCCCGGACCCTGTAGAAGATATTGATTCAAAGTATTCAAACTCAAGTGTGGAATGGTTTGGAAAACCCTCACATTTCCCCAGGTCTGAAATGTAGCATGTTCTGGGCTCCATTTGGACATAGTTCTAAAATGCAGTCTACCAATGTTCTAAAATGCAGTCTACCAGTGTTCTGAAATGCAGTCTACCAGTGTTCTGAAATGCAGTCTACCAGTGTTCTGAAATGCAGTCTACCAGTGTTCTGAAATGCAGTCTACCAGTGTTCTGAAATGCAGTCTACCAGTGTGTTCTGAAATGCAGTCTACCAGTGTTCTGAAATGCAGTCTACCAGTGTTCTGAAATGCAGTCTACCAGTGTTCTGAAATGCAGTCTACCAGTGTTCTGAAATGCAGTCTACCAGTGTCCTGAAATGCAGTCTACCAGTGTCCTGAAATGCAGTCTACCAGTGTCCTGAAATGCAGTCTACCAGTGTCCTGAAATGCAGTCTACCAGTGTCCAGTGCAGTCTACCAGTGTTCTGAAATGCAGTCTACCAGTGTTCTGAAATGCAGTCTACCAGTGTCCTGAAATGCAGTCTACCAGTGTCCTGAAATGCAGTCTACCAGTGTCCTGAAATGCAGTCTACCAGTGTCCTGAAATGCAGTCTACCAGTGTCCTGAAATGCAGTCTACCAGTGTCCTGAAATGCAGTCTACCAGTGTCCTGAAATGCAGTCTACCAGTGTCCTGAAATGCAAGTATATCAATGTAAATGATGCGCATGATGGTCAGTCTCCGGTCCTAGTTCTGTGGTTGTGTTCAGATCTGGAAACGTCATCACACGGCCTTGTTTCATCATACATGTCCTGGGCTGAGATGTTCCGTACACTGCAAGGGTGATCAGTGAAGGGTACTCAGGGTTGTCAAGGGTGATCAGTGAAGGTACTCAAGGTTGTCAAGCTGTCTGGACATACCAGGATGGATTCGCACCTGGTAGAAGGCCGTAACAGCGTTTAGAGATGCTGAGGTTTGCAGCGTTGACAGAGAAGGAAAACCCGTGTGGTCGACGTGATGTTCTTCCACACTTCAAAAGTGTATTTAAATAACGACAACATACTTTGTGGCCTTTGAACAATAAACGTTTAGCAGTTTGTGGCACAAGGACGAATAACTTGAATGAATGAATAAATGAATGACATCCTTTGTCAGTGGCAATGACAATAGAAACATACATATGACAAGGAAACTAGCTACACCGCCTTCTCCTCAACATCCTCTCTGATTAGCTTTTACTTTAACTGCAATGTCGAACTTCTCTCTGAGACAGTCGTACCAGCCTTGCGTTTAATTTATCAGCCAATGTCCCCACAATGCAAGGACGTCACAGTCGCTCGATAGTTTCTCTAGGTAGTGGTGACAATTCAATACACCTCTCACATCCCATGGTCCTATACTTAGCATGTTGCAAGTATGAGAAAAGCAAACATTGTCATTCTGAGTTAATATTATGCCCTGTTATCACATCTACGGGTATACGGAACCCATTCTCTACATTTCACATTTGGGGGCCAGAAATTGACATCTTGTAACACCTTGTAAGCTGCCCTGTTATCTATGTTCACACGTAGATGTGTTCGAACACTCCCACTGTCTCAGTTGTCTAACAGGAGAGATATGTACATTTCGCTTTTTAGCGTAGTCAGTAATTGGACCACGATAATATCAAACGACATGTCAGCTTTAATATTAGATAAAACAAGTCGTTTTCTCCTGCATTCGTTGTCAAGACTCACAGTGGTGTTGGTTGTCTGTCGTTCTGTTTGGCGACGTGGAGCGACAAGGTTCACTCTGTGTCTCAAGGAAGGCGATCCCCTACAAGCACCCCAACCCCCAACAAGCACCCCCACCCCCGTGTTATTGCGGTGTGTGGTCTTTTGGATTCTTCGTTGGTTTGTTACCACAGTGGCAGATGACCCCGGTCTTGAACCTCACATGGTCTTGGCTGAAGGGTCTGTATGGGCAGGTGTCCGGGTTGACGAGGTGCACTGCACACTACTTCAGCGCTTCTGACTGTATCATGGGTTACTGGGGACTTTGAGCACAGCTCTCTTGTCCTCTTGTTAACACAGTTCAACGTACTCACGCCATTCCCCTTTCTAGATATAATGTCAATATTGGCCTTGACGCCGTCTCTCAAGAGATCAAATTGTGCATCCTTGTCTCTCATTAAGAACACAAATGATCTTAGTTTCGCGGCATTGCCTTAACTCAATGTTCTCCATTTTTTCTAGTTCACTCATTGCACAGGCCGGTTCATTGTCTTTAGCTTCAAGACTGCGAGATATTTTCTTTATATCAGAGTCAAATTCCTCATGCAAGTCTTCTAATTTCCTGCTGACCGTAGCCGATTGTGCATTCAAACACTCCTGCAGTTCCGTAACCTTGGCCTGAGCCATAGTCATAGTATCTCTACAGCTTTGTCAGATGTTATCACTGTTGTTTGTCTCTACTTCACTCTGTCTGATCACTCCCTGCTCTCTCTCTCGCTCAACACGTCGCGCTGAATAATGTCTGGAGACACATACCCCGTTATGTAACCATCCAAAAGGTATGTATCACCAACATACATGTATCTCAACAACACCTTCCGTTCAGAGCTTCTCTGTATTCTGTTAATCATATATCCTATAGGTACATCATCGCATCTCTCCTTCGCTACATCATATATCCTATAGGTACATCATCGCATCTCTCCTTCGCTACATCATATATCCTATAGGTACATCATCGCATCTCTCCTTCGCTACATCATATATCCTATAGGTACATCATCGCATCTCTCCTTCGCTACATCATATATCCTATAGGTACATCATCGCATCTCTCCTTCGCTACATCATATATCCTATAGGTACATCATCGCATCTCTCCTTCGCTACATCATATATCCTATAGGTACATCATCGCATCTCTCTTCGCTACATCATATATCCTATAGGTACATCATCGCATCTCTCCTTCGCTACATCATATATCCTATAGGTACATCATCGCATCTCTCCTTCGCTACATCATATATCCTATAGGTACATCATCGCATCTCTCCTTCGCTACATCATATATCCTATAGGTACATCATCGCGTCTCTCCTTCGCTACATCATATATCCTATAGGTACATCATCGCATCTCTCCTTCGCTACATCATATATCCTATAGGTACATCATCGCGTCTCTCCTTCGCTACATCATATATCCTATAGGTACATCATCGCGTCTCTCCTTCGCTACATCATATATCCTATAGGTACATCATCGCATCTCTCCTTCGCTTCCACATCATATATCCTATAGGTACATCATCGCATCTCTCCTTCGCTACATCATATATCCTATAGGTACATCATCGCATCTCTCCTTCGCTACATCATATATCCTATAGGTACATCATCGCATCTCCTTCGCTACATCATATATCCTATAGGTACATCATCGCATCTCTCCTTCGCTACATCATATATCCTATAGGTACATCATCGCATCTCTCCTTCGCTACATCATATATCCTATAGGTACATCATCGCATCTCTCCTTCGCTACATCATATAGACTGTGTAGAACCTCGTTTATAAAAAAATATTTCCTTTATCACCTGAGTACGCTTTCAAAAGACACACGGTCAACCTGACCCAGTTTGTTGTGTTCTTCACTGGAGATATTGTAGACGATAACATCACAACAATCTCTAGTGGAGAATTCAAAGATCGATCTTTTGCCTCCATGACAGACAGATAATCAGGTGAGTTCCTAACCTGAGGGACATTCGTGCTTGAATGGTTAATTAATAAGAGGAATTAATCACTTTGATATACGCCGAGGAGAGTGGAATAAGGCTGGGTAGGAACAAGGGAACTCAAAACTGAATCTGTTTTAAGGAATATTCTAGTAATATCGCGTCGGGTGCCATGAAAATAGGCCAATTTGTTTCACTTGTTTGATTATAACCAAACGTATTCCACTCTTTGTCGTTTGACAGGTCATACATGCATGATAATGCTTTTTGTCCCCAGCAACGCGGTTTGCTGGGGTATTATTTTGGACTCCGTCCATGTGTCTGTCTGTCTGTCTGTACAAATCCGTCTTTCCGGAGCAAAACCTTAAAAACCTTAAAAACTGTTACATATTTCTTCACCAAACTTTGCACATAGATATGTCAGGCGATGAACTGGTGCCTTTTGGTAGTTTTGGATTTCAGAATAAAATAAATTTTGCGTTTCCATGGCAACAAGTTTGACTTCGACTGAATTTGGTGACAGTTCTCTTTTCCGGAGCAGAATACAAGCATGTTGCTGATACAAGTCTGTTGCTGATACAAGCATGTTGCTGATACAAGTCTGTTGCTGATACAAGTCTGTTGCTGATACAAGTCTGTTGCTGATACAAGTCTGTTGCTGATACAAGTCTGTTGCTGATACAAGTCTGTTGCTGATACAAGTCTGTTGCTGATACAAGTCTGTTGCTGATACAAGTCTGTTGCTGATACAAGTCTGTTGCTGATACAAGCATGTTGCTGATACAAGTCTGTTGCTGATACAAGTCTGTTGCTGATACAAGCATGCTAGGATATGAATAGTTTAAACATGTATGTTTTCGTAAGATGTTGAAAACAATGTAACATTTGACACAGTCATAACAATTCATGAAGAGTATTTGACCATAGCGGGGGATATTGATGACGTAGTCTTCGTGGGTTTGTGTTGTTGTCTTGTTTGTTACTTAACTTCAGCAATATTCCATCTATATGGCGGCGGTCTGTAAATGATTGAGGGTAAACAATCCAGTGGTCAACAGCATGAGCATCGATCTACGTAATTTGGATACGGTTACGCGTGTCAAGACGGTCATAAATGTAACATATGCTGCACATTTTGTGAACATGTATAGAATATTAAATATGTTATTACAGAATGTTAGATAATGCGGAACGGACATTCTCTGTGTCCTGGTGTAAATAATTACTGACATCCAGTAGTTGTTCGGTACACCCCACACGGGAACAGCAGGGGTGTGGTGGACGTCCTCTTCCGCCTATACATATACGACTGTGTTGGAAACCACAGTCATTTCCAACAGTCTTTGAAGACATCTACATGAAACACATACTTGAATATCACTCAAAGTGATATGACTGTGTTGAGGATAACTCTCCCGACGAGGTACACTTCGTGGGGCTGACGTCCATGTCACCGTAACAACACTGGGGAGACAGAAGGACTATAAACGTCACTCAACTTTCTTCACGCTATCATTAACGTTAGTACCGCTAATTTATATTGATCCAGGCAAGTGAATGTATTTATTTGTACTATTTGGTTTCCTTCACCCATTATGAAGTCGCCGAAAACCCGGGTCCGATTCCCAACATGGGTACAATGTGTGAAGCCCATTTCTGATGTCCCCCGCCGTGATATTGCTGAAATAAGAGGCGTAAAACTAAACTCACTCATTCTTGTCGTATGTGCTACTTTTAACGTATATGTGCATACGGTCATGTACGGTTGTGTCGTACCAGGTGTTCTCGTGTTGTTATTTCAGTATTATGTCACTCATTATTACGTTTCATAACATGAAAATAAATTAATGGCTAGGTGTTAGTGGCTACGCTTTAGTTCCTATAAAACTGTCAGAACAATACCCTATATTCTCATGTTTTGTTCCATGCGTAACGTTCTATCATTGTTCAGGACAATATGTAAATATGAAGCCCTTGAAGCATGTTGTTGTAATTAGGTAGATTGGTGCTCGTGATATCAACCACTGGGAGGACTTGATTCAGACGTGATTATTTACAGACACCAGTCAGACCGGTTGCAACTGCCGAGTGACAAACAGAGACATGTCACATTGACTTTGCAGGCTACATTTCCTTGTGATAAGCGTTCGACCCTTGCTCCATAGAAACAGGTAAGGTTAAAATGTTATCACTATTTAGAATAGAACTTGGAATGATAAAGTGCGATCAAGCGGCGGAAGGGTAAACCAAGGCACCAAGGGTAGGGCACGGCAACATAACCGGGATCTACTATGCTTTGTGGAATAGTCATTCAAGAAATTGTTATTCTCTGTCAGTTAATAGTTCGTTGTTTTGTACAGAGAGAAGTACTTTATGCAGTACACAACTCGGTGTGTACTAATGTGAGATGAACCCGGAAATATGCAGCGTCTTCGCCCGCTGAGCCAATAAATCTGTGCCCTATTTCCTGGTGTTGCAGGCGAAGGGCTGCTTTCACAAAAATACATGCATGTGTAGATCCCTTAAGCCGACTTAGGGTACTCGGATGATCTATCTAACCTGCTGTTTCAGAGAGAAGACACGTGTAGCGGATGCAATGAAGGGTAGATCGGTGTTTGTCGGGATCCTGGCCTGTGTAGTGGTGGCGCTGGTCATCATGACTCACTACCGGGTGAGTATAGGTGACGTCTGTATGGCATGGGAGGGGGTGGGGTTGGGGTTGGGGGTGGGCAGAGGAACAGTTCCATGAATAACACCTGGAATATGTAGTACCGCATATGTAAGATCACCCTCGCTGGACAAATCTGCATTATTAAAAACGTTTAAGTGGACAAGTGAGATAGGTGAGAGAAAATACCTGACTCCACTTAGGTGAGTGAGTGAGTGAGTTTAGGTTTACGCCGCACTCAGCAATATTCCAGCTATATGGCGGCGGTCTGTAAATAATCGAGTCTGGACCAGACAATCCAGGGATCAACAGCATGAGCATCGATCTGCGCAATTGGGAACCGATGACATGTGTCAACCAAGTCAGCGAGCCTGACCAACCGATCCCGTTAGTCGCCTCTTACGACAAGCATGGGTTACTGAAGGTTCATTCTAACCCGGACCTTCACGGGTATCACCACTTTGGAAGGGAGACTCATGACTGCCGGTTAAACTGGTGAACAAGGGTTTGGTCCCAAGTTAAACCTTCTGCGAGCGTCCTGGCAATCACGGGCCGCATCACAGACGACATGTAAACACGAATATTGAGTTTCATTTAGCTTACAGAGGTTACGTTTATTGAATACGTACAGAAAGCTACGCTGTATTTCAGATGAACATTCATGAAGATGGTGTTGTCACATACACGGTAGCAGTGCCGGATCAGGACGTCAACGACAACACGCCCCTCGGAGGACTTCGTCGACAAGGGCAGGCAAGTGGTCGGTCATCTGCAGTCATGCACAAGGAGGAACTTGCAGTAAACTGTGATAGCTCTGTGTTACTTCAAATATACGGTTGTTTCAGTAATCTGGTGTTGCTATATATATACCTAACAGACCCATCCGATGTATGATGAATATCCAGCCTCTGTATCGGGGTGTCCAGCCTCTGTATGGGGGTGTCCAGACTCTGTATGGGGTGTCCAGCCTCTGTATGGGGGTGTCCAGCCTCTGTATGGGGGTGTCCAGACTCTGTATGGGGGTGCCCAGACTCTGTATGGGGGTGTCCAGACTCTGTATGGGGGTGCCCAGACTCTCAGGGTTAGAGTTTCCATAGGTCTACCAGCATCACAACCCGAATGAAGACACCTGATACTGATGACATTTATTCCAGATCATCCTGCCGAGTAAAGATGCTATGGATAACATGTCGGCAGCCGCAGCCCATCTCACTTACCACAGGTAGGTTGTGGAGTGAGTGAGTGAATGAGTGAAGTTTGATCAGAACCTTTATCATATCTCTGTCAGCTTCATCTTGGGGTAAAGTGTCCTGTAATTCAGTCCAATACCGGGGAACACGCAGTTACAGGTAGAAAGGCAAGGTTACTATTCTCAGCAGCAGAACAATAACGTCAATACGAATTCCAAATTAGATAGGCACTGTAATCAAATCATTACAGAAATGGACGTAATAAGGGATCAAACACATCTTTTGTGTACAATATCTTGACACATCAATGAATCACCCAGCATAATTTCAAGACATTACGTGAACGTTTGCAGTCCATTCTGACTCTTGACTTCAGTATCTAGTGTGACCACCACGAGCGGCAATAACTGCAGCACAGCGTCTATGCATGGAGTGCGCCAATCGATTGATGAAGGCCATTGGCACCTTTAACCACACTCTGAGTAAGGCCTGGCGCAATAAATCAGCTGTGTTCGGCCTTGGTATGACATTGTTCAGTCTCCTCTGAATTTCATCCCAAAGATGTTCAACTGGGTTTAAATAAGGACTAAGGGCTGGCCCCTGCTTAATGTTGACACCGTTCTGCTGTAGGAAGTCCCGTGTAGCTCTGGCAGTATGGGCCCGGGCGTTATAATGCTGGAAAATGTTGTTCCGGTGACGTGCGAAATGTGGTATGACGTGGGGTCTGAGAGCTTGGTCGATGTAGCGCACCTCTATGATGCCGCTTCCTCTCCCTGGACCAAAGTTCTGGAACACCACAGGACTCACTCTCTGGTTCAGGCCTATTCCACCCCATACCATGATGCTTGCACCTCCCCATGAGTCTCTTTCCATAACACATTGGTCTGAGTAACGCTGGCCACGTCGTCGCCATATTCTTGTTCTGCCATCTGCAGTTGATACGCAGTACCGACTCTCATCTGTGAACAGAACAGTTCTCCATTGCCTGTATCGCCAGTTTTGGTGTTGTAGGGCAAACTGTAGACGTTCACGCTGATGACGAGGGATGAGGATAGGTCCACGGTAAGGTCTACGGCAATGGAGGTTCCCGCTGTTAAGACTTCGGTGTACTGTATCAGTACTGATTGGTGTTCCGTGTGTTCTCACTGTCTGGCGTGCTGTTTCGGATGCCTGCATAAAGGGATTCTGTACATGCTGTCGCACAAGATGGCGGTCTTGTCGCAAACCGAAACATGAGTCTCATTAACCTACTCAGACAATGACCTACTTTTCAGCCGGTCCGAATTTTCTCGTGTGAAAGTGAAAATAGACATCACAAACAACTATGGTTACACTGAATTCAAATTTCTTGTTTTAAAAGAAAATGGTCTTTGCAAGTTAATTTTAATTATAAACTTTCATAACATCGTATTTCTATATTTTATGGCGAGATGTAGGCAACATGTCGTTAACTAAGACGTCACAGACTGCCCCTGTGATGAGGTCGTAAAATGATTCACAATTCATCTGGCTCACTGGTTACATCTGTTATGTGGTCCTTGCGCTTATTTAGTGTGGTTTTGTAACGCACAATGCGATTGATATCATATCAAGTCCGTACCAGATCGCCAAACCTTTCTAGCGGCAGAGCTTCGTTTTGAGATTTCCACGATTTCCGTTTGTCAGAGCACGCTGTACGACAGAGCATGCTGCACGACGTGTTTGCAAGGATTAGAAGGAGCGTAGTATTGCAATATACAAGTGCTTAGATGTATCAAATAATACTGATTAATGTATATGTATCCAGTTGAATACTGGTTATTGTACGAAGTTGCGCAATAGGACGGAACCAGTCAGCAGGAAACGAGACGGTTGTGTAATCAATGTTTTGACTTGCTTGTGGTCACCCTTGGTCTGCCAGTACGGGGGCGATCATTTGTGTGTACTTCCAGCATGGTGGCCCGGAAACGTTGCTGCAGCCTGTAGATGGTCCGAACGTTGACCTGGAAGTGACTGGCAACGGCTTGTGTATACAGGTCCATCACTCCACACTCGGTTACACTAAATAGACATGCATATACATGTATATATCGGAATCACTTTCGAAAGTGTTCGTGCATATTGTCAATATGCTGTCAAGAGTATATCTGGAACAACGACTCGCGAGAGAGAGGGAGGGAGAGAAAGAGAGAGAGAGAGAAGAGAGAGAGAGAGAGAGAGAGAGAGAGAGAGAGAGAGAGAGACAGGGAGAGAGAGACAGAGAGAGACAGAGACACAGACAGAGACACAGACAGAGAGTTATTTATTGCAAACAGAAGAATATCAAGGCCTACATTGAGGAAACAATAGTTGGTCATATTAACGCCAGCATAAGGAACCGATGCTGAGTCATTCAAGCTACTGATGATGACTGTGTATTGGTGAACACGTCATGGTGTAAACAGGTCACATCCCGGACCAAGGTTGACCTGCCCCTGACAAATGTAAAATCCTAACAAAATCTATATCGATAATAGGACTGCTAAACAGAATAACAGATTTGTTTCAGTATATCCAGTTGTGGACACATGTAACATTTATTACATTATTTTTCACATAGTTACCTTGACAACATAGATACAAAGTGCTCCCGGAAGCTGCGAATGGGAAATCTGGGAGATGGAGGCTGGGAAATATGTGACGACAGAGGTTATCGTCCAGTAAAGCCTTGCATTGTGTATTCGTTTGGGTGAGTATCTAACTGGTGTAACTTGTGAGGACCTATGTAGGTAAGGGAAACACGGGTCACTGTCTTATTGTGTGAGGAACCCACAGGTACTAGTATTGGTATGTAGTCCTACTTAAGAACAGACCTTCCTTACGCGCTCTGTAAAACGTGTCGCTCAAACCACTAAAACATTCCCCAGAAGTCGGAGGAGGGTTTCCAGTACTCCAGTAGATCTCTGTTGGGATTCTTAGAATGAAGTGGCGAGCGTAATCTAATTGGGTATCGAATGGCACAATCCTTGACTGGCTATCGATATAGATCATAGAGATCGATTATCGATAAATATCGGAGAAGTAATTTTTTAAGTAAATATGACTAAAAATGTGAACGACATCAACATATTTCACATCAGTGGTAAGTGGTGACATATTAAGGCTGGGATTACCAGCAAAACGCCATCCTGTAAATTCTGTGGAAGCAGCCCATTAACTTTGTGCATTTTCTGAGTAACTGTTTAAAGTATTTTGTCACAATAGTTCATTTACGATATTATCGATCACCCAATTTTCATATCGATAATCATCATAATAATTCACATTTCTGATTTTCGATCTTTTAAGTTTTCGGTTTCGAAAATTGAGAATGGACACTGACCACTGTTCATCAAACGTACCCTGGGGGTGTTGGTTCCATGTTTGCTCAGTGTAGGCCACGGGGGCTATATGTATCCGGGCAGATAACGTGAAATTCAAATGCCAAGCATTTGTTGTCATAAGTTGTTTTCTTTCTTTTCACAGAATCAACAATGATTTTTCTTTCCTTTCACAGAATCAACAATGATTTTTCTTTCGACGATGACACAGCGAGGAACTACGAGTGTGACGTGTTTTCATTTGACCCCAGGTCTGGTCCTGTTTGTCATCAAGGATCAGTTTGTATGATGAGAGGCCCGAATGGCCCTGTGGTGTAATACACTTATCAATCTGAATCCGCTGGTCACTGGTTCGAATCCCATAATTTGGAGCTTAGTGGTAGGTTCATGCATATGTGGTTCGGATTTATCCGACAACAGGGACGCAGTGGCTGAAATGACAAGCACGGGTCGCACTTTCCGTGAGCAGTCAGCTTCATAATACAACCTGCATCTGAATACAATTCACCTCTACACCAACCACTCTCACCTTCATAATACAACCTGCATCTGAATACAATTCACCTCTACACCAAGCACTCTCACCTTCATAATACACACTGCATCTGAATACAATTCACCTCTACACCAAGTACTCTCACCTTCATAATACACACTGCATCTGAATACAATTCACCTCTACACCAAGTACTCCCACCTCACCTTCATAATACACACTGCATCTGAATACAATTCACCTCTACACCAAGTACTCTCACCTTCATAACAAACACTGCATCTGAATACAATTCACCTCTACACCAAGTACTCTCACCTTCATAATAAACATTGCATCTGAATACAATTCACCTCTACACCAAGTACTCTCACCTTCATAATAAACACTGCATTCTGAATACAATTCACCTCTACACCAAGTACTCTCACCTTCATAATAACACCTAATCTGCATCTGAATACAATTCACAATCTACACCAAGTCACCTTCATACTCAATTCACCTCACCTTACCTCACCTTCATAACAAACATTGCATCTGAATACAATTCACCTTCTACTCCAAGTACTCTCACCTTCATAATAAACATTGCATCTGAATACAATTCACCTTCTACCTCTCTCACCTTCACCAAGTACTCTCACCTTCATAATACACACTGCATCTGAATACAATTCACCTCTACACCAAGCACTCTCACCTTCATAACAAACATTGCACTGAATACAATTCCACCTCTACTGAATACAATCTTCATATACACCTCTACCACCTCTACAAAGTACCCTCACCTTCATAATAAACATTGCATCTGAATACAATTCACCTCACCAAGTACTCTCACCTTCATAACAAACATTGCATCTGAATACAATTCACCTCTACACCAAGTACTCTCACCTTCATAATAAACACTGCATCTGAATACAATTCACCTCTACATCTTCAAGTAACTCTCATCTTCATAACACAACATTGCATCTGAATACAATTCACCTCTACTCCAAGTACCCTTCCTTCATTCAAATATTGCATCTGAATACATTCACCTCTACACCAAGTACTCTCACCTTCATACCAAACATTGCATCTGAATACAATTCACCTCTACTCCAAGTACCCTCACCTTCATAACAAACAATGCATCTGAATACAATTCACCTCTACTCCAAGTACTCTCACCTTCATAATAAACACTTGCATCTGAATACAATTCACCTCTACACCAAGCACTCTCACCTTCATAATACACACTGCATCTGAATACAATTCACCTCTACTCCAAGTAATTTCACCTTCATAACAAACATTGCATCTGAATACAATTCACCTCTACACCAAGTACTCTCACCTTCATAACTCCAACACTGCATCTGGAATACAATTCACCTCTACACCAAGTACTCTCACCTTCATAATACAAACATTGCATCTGAATACAATTCACCTCTCTACACCAAGTACTTTCTCACCTTCATAATAAACATTGCATCTGAATACAGTTCGCCTCTACACCAAGTACTCTCACCTTCATAATAAACATTGCTTCTGAATACAATTCGCCTCTACACCAAGTATCCTCACATTCATAATAAACATTGCATCTGAATACAATTCACCTCTACACCAAGTATCCTCACATTCATAATAAACATTGCATCTGAATACAATTCACCTCTTCACCAAGTACCCTCACCTTCATAACAAACATTGCATCTGAATACAATTCACCTCTACACCAAGTATCCTCACCTTCATAACAAACATTGCATCTGAATACAATTCACCTCTACACCAAGTATCCTCACATTCATAATAAACATTGCATCTGAATACATTTCACCTCTTCACAAAGTACCCTCACCTTCATAACAAACATTGCATCTGAATACACTTCACCTTTCACCAAGTACACTCACCTTCATAACAAACATTGCATTTGAAAACAATTCACCCCTACACCAAGTACTCTCACCTTCATAACAAACATTGCATCTGAATACACTTCACCTCTACTCCAAGTACTCTCACCTTCATAATACACACTGCATCTGAATACAATTCACCTCTACTCCAAGTACTCTCACCTTCATAATACACACTGCATCTTAATACAATTCACCTCTACACCAAGTACTCTCACCTTCATAATAAACATTGCATCTGAATACAATTCGCCTCTACACCAAGCACTCTCACCTTCATAATAAACATTGCTTCTGAATACAATTCGCCTCTACACCAAGTATCCTCACATTCATAATAAACATTGCATCTGAATACAATTCACCTCTACACCAAGTATCCTCACATTCATAATCATTGCATCTGAATACAATTCACCTCTTCACCAAGTACACTCACCTTCATAACAAACATTGCATCTGAATACACTTCACCTCTACACCAAGTATCCTCACCTTCATAACAAACATTGCATCTGAATACAATTCACCTCTACACCAAGTATCCTCACATTCATAATAAACATTGCATCTGAATACAATTCACCTCTACACCAACCACTCTCACCTTCATAATACACACTGCATCTGAATACAATTCACCTCTACACCAAGGACTCTCACCTTCATAATACAACCTGCATCTGAATACAATTCACCTCTACACCAACCACTCTCACCTTCATAATACACACTGCATCTGAATACACTTCACCTCTACACCAAGTACTCTCACCTTCAGAATACACAATGCATCTGAATACAATTCACCTCTACACCAAGTACTCTCACCTTCAGAATACACACTGCATCTGAATACAATTCACCTCTACTCCAAGTACTCTCACCTTCAGAATACACACTGCATCTGAATACACTTCACCTCTACACCAAAGCACTCTCACCTTCATAATAAACGGAATACACTGCATCTGGAATACAATTCACCTCTACACCAAGTACTTTCACCTTCAGAATACACACTGCATCTGAATACAATTCACCTCTACACCAACCACTCTCACCTTCATAATACACACTGCATCTGAATACAATTCACCTCTACTCCAAGTACTCTCACCTTCATAATACACACTGCATCTGAATACAATTCACCTCTACACCAAGTACTCTCACCTTCATAATAAACAGTGCATCTGAATACAATTCACCTCTACACCAAGTACTCTCACCTTCATATCAAACATTGCATCTGAATACAATTCACCTCTACACCAAGCACTCTCACCTTCATAATACACACTGCATCTGAATACAATTCACCTCTACACCAAGTACTCTCACCTTCATAATACACACTGCATCTGAATACAATTCACCTCTACACCAAGCACTCTCACCTTCATAATACACACTGCATCTGAATACAATTCACCTCTACTCCAAGTACTCTCACCTTCATAATACACACTGCATCTGAATACAATTCACCTCTACACCAAGTACTCTCACCTTCATAATAAACAGTGCATCTGAATACAATTCACCTCTACACCAAGTACTCTCACCTTCATACCAAACATTGCATCTGAATACAATTCACCTCTACACCAAGTACTCTCACCTTCATAATAAACACTGCATTTGAATACAATTCACCTCTACACCAAGTACTCTCATCTTCATAACAAACACTGCATCTGAATACAATTCACCTCTACACCAAGTACTCTCACCTACGTGACAAACATTGCATCTGAATACAATTCACCTCTACTCCAAGTACCCTCACCTTCATACCAAACATTGCATCTGAATACACCACCTCTACACCAAGTAATCACCTTCATCATACCAAACATTGCATCTGAATACAATTCACCTCTACTCCAAGTACCCTCACCTTCATACCAAACAATGCATCTGAATACAATTCACCTCTACTCCAAGTACTCTCACCTTCATAACAAACATTGCATCTGAATACAATTCACCTCTACACCAAGTACTCTCACCTTCATAATACACACTGCATCTGAATACAATTCACCTCTACACCAAGTACTCTCACCTTCATAACAAACATTGCATCTGAATACAATTCACCTCTACACCAAGTACTCTCACCTTCATAATACACACTGCATCTGAATACAATTCACCTCTACTCCAACTACTCTCACCTTCATAATACACACTGCATCTGAATACACTTCACCTCTACTCCAAGTACTCTCACCTTCATAATACACACTGCATCTTAATACAATTCACCTCTACTCCAAGTACTCTCACCTTCATAATAAACATTGCATCTGAATACAGTTCGCCTCTACACCAAGCACTCTCACCTTCATAATAAACATTGCTTCTGAATACAATTCGCCTCTACACCAAGTATCCTCACATTCATAATAAACATTGCATCTGAATACAACTCACCTCTACACCAAGTATCCTCACATTCATAATAAACATTGCATCTGAATACAATTCACCTCTTCACCAAGTACCCTCACCTTCATAACAAACATTGCATCTGAATACAATTCACCTCTACACCAAGTATCCTCACCTTCATAACAAACATTGCATCTGAATACACTTCACCTCTACACCAAGTATCCTCACATTCATAATAAACATTGCATCTGAATATATTTCACCTCTTCACAAAGTACCCTCACCTTCATAACAAACATTGCATCTGAATACAATTCACCTTTCACCAAGTACACTCACCTTCATAACAAACATTGCATTTGAAAACAATTCACCCCTACACCAAGTACTCTCACCTTCATAACAAACATTGCATCTGAATACAATTCACCTCTACTCCAAGTACTCTCACCTTCATAATACACACTGCATCTGAATACAATTCACCTCTACTCCAAGTACTCTCACCTTCATAATACACACTGCATCTTAATACAATTCACCTCTACACGCAGTACTCTCACCTTCATAATAAACATTGCATCTGAATACAATTCGCCTCTACACCAAGCACTCTCACCTTCATAATAAACATTGCTTCTGAATACAATTCGCCTCTACACCAAGTATCCTCACATTCATAATAAACATTGCATCTGAATACACCTCTACACCAAGTTCATCACATTCATAATCATTGCATCTGAATACAATTCACCTCTTCACCAAGTACACTCACCTTCATAACAAACATTGCATCTGAATACAATTCACCTCTACACCAAGTATCCTCACCTTCATAACAAACATTGCATCTGAATACAATTCACCTCTACACCAAGTATCCTCACATTCATAATAAACATTGCATCTGAATACATTTCACCTCTTCACCAAGTACTCTCACCTTCATAACAAACATTGCATCTTAATACAATTCACCTCTACACCAAGTACTCTCACCTTCATAACAAACATTGCATCTGAATACAATTCACCTCTACACCAAGTACTCTCACCTTCATAATAAACATTGCATCTGAATACAATTCGCCTCTACACCAAGTACTCTCACCTTCATAATAAACATTGCATCTGAATACAATTCCCTCTCCCAAGTCTACCTTCATAATACACCCTCACAATTCATAACAAACATTGCATCTGAATACAATTCACCTCTTCACCAAGTACCCTCACCTTCATAACAAACATTGCATCTGAATACAATTCACCTCTACACCAAGTACACTCACCTTCATAACAAACATTGCATCTGAATACAATTCACCTCTACTCCAAGTACCCTCACCTTCATAACAAACAGTGCATCTGAATACAATTCACCTCTTCACCAAGTACCCTCACCTTCATAACAAATATTGCATCTGAATACAATTCACGTTTACACCAAGTACACTCACCTTCATAATAAACATTGCATCTGAATACAACCTTCACCAACTACACTCACCTTCATAATAAACATTGCTCTGAATACACCTTTCATAACAAACATTGCATCTGAATACAATTCACCTCTACACCAAGTACTCTCACCTTCATAACAAACATTGCATCTGAATACAATTCACCTTTACACCAAGTACACTCACCTTCATAATAAACATTGCATCTGAATACAATTCACCTCTACACCAAGTACCCTCACCTTCATAACAAACATTGCATCTGAAAACAATTCACCCCTACACCAAGTACTCTCACCTTCATAATAAACATTGCATTTGAAAACAATTCACCCCTACACCAAGTGACTTCACCTTTATAACAAACATTGCATCTGAATACAATTCGCCTCTACACCAAGTACTCTCACCTTCATAACAAACATGGCATCTGAATACAATTCACCTCTACACCAAGTACTCTCACCTTCATAACAAACATTGCATCTGAATACAATTCACCTCTACACCAAGTGACTTCACCTTTATAACAAACATTGCATCTGAATACAATTCACCTCTACACCAAGCACTCTCACCTTCATAACAAACATGGCATCTGAATACAATTCACCTCTACACCAAGTACTCTCACCTTCATAACAAACATTGCATCTGAATACAATTCACCTCTACACCAAGTGACCTCACCTTCATAACAAACATTGCATTTGAATACAATTCACCTCTACACCAAGTACTCTCACCTTCATAACAAACATTGCATCTGAATACAATTCACCTCTACACCAAGTACTCTCACCTTCATAATAAACATTACATCTGAATACAATTCACCTCTACTCCAACTACCCTCACCTTCATAACAAACATGGCATCTGAATACAATTCACCTCTACACGCAGTACTCTCACCTTCATAACAAACATTGCATCTGAATACAATTCACCTCTTCACCAAGTGACCTCACCTTCATAACAAACATTGCATTTGAATACAATTCACCCCTACACCAAGTACTCTCACCTTCATAACAAACATTGCATCTGAATACAATTCACCTCTACACCAAGTACCCTCACCTTCATAACAAACATTGCATTTGAATACAATTCACCTCTACACCAAGTACCCTCACCTTCATAACAAACATTTCAACTAAATATAAATCACTTCAACCCCTAGTGCTCGCATCAGTACTGGAGGATGGATTGCATCTAAACAAAAGCCTTACAAATACTGACCTTGATAACAATACAAACCATCCTGTTCATGTCTTGAAATTCAATAAAACTGTAAATTCGTCTTTCAAAATGTACTTGAATATGGTTATTCTTGCAGTATGAAGACAAAGAGCTACCAGAGATCAGCACGTGTTCGCTTCCTTAATATTGGAATAGATGGAGAGAACAGACTGAATGAACAGAACTGGGAGATGCACACCCTGGGTAGATTGAAGGATATGCTCAATCACACGGAGGTATGTACACCCTGGGTAGACTGAAGGATACACTGAATCACACGGAGGTGGGCACACCCTGGGTAGACTGAAGGATATACTCAATCACACGGAGGTATGTACACCCTGGGTAGACTGAAGGATATACTGAATCACACGGTGGTATGTACACCCTGGGTAGACTGAAGGATATGCTCAATCACACGGAGGTATGTACACCATGGGTAGACTGAAGGATATGCTCAATCACACGGAGGTGGGCACACCCTGGGGAGACTGAAGGATATACTCAATCACACGGAGGTATGAACACCATGGGTAGACTGAAGGATATGCTCAATCACAAGGAGGTATGTACACCCTGGGTAGACTGAAGGATATGCTCAATCACACGGAGGTATGTACACCATGGGTAGACTGAAGGATATGCTCAATCACACGGAGGTATGCACACCCTGGGTAGACTGAAGAATACACTGAATCACACGGAGGGATGTACACCCTGGGTAGACTGAAGGATATGCTCAATCACACGGAGGTATGGACACCCTGGGTAGACTGAAGGATATGCTCAATCACACGGAGTTATGTACACCCTGGGTAGACTGAAGGATACCCTCACTCACACGGAGGTATGTACACCCTGGGTAGACTGAAGGATATACTGAATCACAAGGAGGTATGTGCACCCTGGGTAGACTGAAGGATATACTCAATCACACGGAGGTGTGTACACCCTGGGTAGACTGAAGGATATACTCATTCACACTGAGGTATATACACCCTGGGTAGACTGAAGGATATTCTCAATCACACGGAGGTATGTACACCCTGGGTAGATTGAAGGATATACTCAGTAACACGGAGGTATGTACACCCTGGGTAGACTGAAGAATATACTCAATGACACGGAGGTATGTACACCCGGGGTAGACTGAAGGATATACTCAATCACACGGAGGTATGTACACCCTGGGTACATTGAAGGATATACTAAATCACATGGAGGTATGTACACCCTGGGTAGACTGAAGGATATACTCAATCACACGGAGGTATGTACACCCTGGGTAGACTGAAGGATATCTCACACGGAGGTATGTACACCCTGGGTAGACTGAAGGATATACTCAATCACACGGAGGTATGTACACCCTGGGTAGACTGAAGGATATGCTCTCAATCACACTGGAGGTATGTACACCCTGGGTAGACTGAAGGATATACTCAATCACACGGAGGTATGTACACCCTGGGTAGACTGAAGGATATGCTCAATCACACGGAGGTATGTACACCCTGGGGTAGACTGAAGGATATACTCAATCACACGGAGGTATGTACACCCCCTGAGGTAGACTGAAGGATGTACTCACACACACGGAGGTATGTACACCCTGGGTAGACTGAAGGATATACTCAATCACACGGAGGTATGTACACCCTGGGTAGACTGAAGTATACCCTGGGTAGACTGAAGGATATGCTCAATCACACGGAGGTATGTACACCCTGGGTAGACTGAAGGATATGCTCAATCACACGGAGGTATGTACACCCTGGGTAGACTGAAGGATATGCTCAATCACACGGAGGTATGTACACCCTGGGTAGACTGAAGGATATGCTCAATCACACGGAGGTATGTACACCCTGGGTAGACTGAAGGATATGCTCAATCACACGGAGGTATGTACACCCTGGGTAGACTGAAGGATATGCTCAATCACACGGAGGTATGTACACCCTGGGTAGACTGAAGGATATGCTCAATCACACGGAGGTATGTACACCCTGGGTAGACTGAAGGATATGCTCAATCACACGGAGGTATGTACACCCTGGGTAGACTGAAGGATATACTCAATCACACGGAGGTATGTGCACCCTGGGTAGACTGAAGGATATACTCAATCACACGGAGGTGTGTACACCCTGGGTAGACTGAAGGATATACTCATTCACACTGAGGTATATACACCCTGGGTAGACTGAAGGATATTCTCAATCACACGGAGGTATGTACACCCTGGGTAGACTGAAGGATATACTCAATCACACGGAGGTATGTACACCCTGGGTAGACTGAAGGATATTCTGAATAACAAGGAGGTATGTACACCCTGGGTAGATTGAAGGATATACTCAGTAACACGGAGGTATGTACACCCTGGGTAGACTGAAGGATATACTCAATGACACGGAGGTATGTACACCCTGGGTAGACTGAAGGATATACTCAATCACACGGAGGTATGTACACCCTGGGTAGACTGAAGGATATACTCAATCACACGGAGGTATGTACACCCTGGGTAGACTGAAGGATATACTCAATCACACGGAGGTATGTACACCCTGGGTAAACTGAAGGATATACTCAATCACACGGAGGTATGTACACCCTGGGTAGACTGAAGGATATACTCAATCACACGGAGGTATGTACACCCTGGGTAGACTGAAGGATATACTCAATCACACGGAGGTATGTACACCCTGGGTAGACTGAAGGATATACTCAATCACACGGAGGTATGTGCACCCTGGGTAGACTGAAGGATATACTCAATCACACGGAGGTATGTACACCCTGGGTAGACTGAAGGATATGCTCAATCACACGGAGGTATGTACACCCTGGGTAGACTGAAGGATATACTCAATCACACGGAGGTATGTACACCCTGGGTAGACTGAAGGATATACTCAATCACACGGAGGTATGTACACCCTGGGTAGACTGAAGGATATACTCAATCACACGGAGGTATGTACACCCTGGGTAGACTGAAGGATATACTCAATCACACGGAGGTATGTACACCCTGGGTAGACTGAAGGATATGCTCAATCACACGGAGGTATGTACACCCTGGGTAGACTGAAGGATATGCTCAATCACACGGAGGTGTGTACACCCTGGGTAGACTGAAGGATATGCTCAATCACACGGAGGTATGTACACCCTGGGTAGACTGAAGGATATACTCAATCACACGGAGGTATGTACACCCTGGGTAGACTGAAGGATATACTCAATCACACGGAGGTATGTACACCCTGGGTAGACTGAAGGATATGCTCAATCACACGGAGGTATGTACACCCTGGGTAGACTGAAGGATATGCTCAATCACACGGAGGTGTGTACACCCTGGGTAGACTGAAGGATATGCTCAATCACACGGAGGTATGCACACCCTGGGTAGACTGAAGGATATGCTCAATCACACGGAGGTATGTACACCCTGGGTAGACTGAAGGATATACTCAATCACACGGAGGTATGTACACCCTGGGTAGACTGAAGGATATGCTCAATCACACGGAGGTATGTACACCCTGGGTAGACTGAAGGATATGCTCAATCACACGGAGGTATGTACACCCTGGGTAGACTGAAGGATATGCTCAATCACACGGAGGTATGTACACCCTGGGTAGACTGAAGGATATACTCAATCACACGGAGGTATGTACACCCTGGGTAGACTGAAGGATATGCTCAATCACACGGAGGTATGTACACCCTGGGTAGACTGAAGGATATACTCAATCACACGGAGGTATGTACACCCTGGGTAGACTGAAGGATATACTCAATCACACGGAGGTATGCACACCCTGGGGTAGACTGAAGGATATACTCAATCACACGAAGGTATGTACACCCTGGGTAGACTGAAGGATATACTCAATCACACGGAGGTATGCACGCCCTGGGTAGACTGAAGGATATACTCAATCACACGGAGGTATGTACACCCTGGGTAGACTGAAGGATATGCTCAATCACACGGAGGTATGTACACCCTGGGTAGACTGAAGGATATACTCAATCACACGGAGGTATGTACACCCTGGGTAGACTGAAGGATATGCTCAATCACACGAAGGTATGTACACCCTGGATAGACTGAAGGATATGCTCAATCACACGGAGGTGTGTACACCCTGGGTATACTGAAGGATATACTCAATCACACGGAGGTATGTACACCCTGGGTAGACTGAAGGATATGCTCAATCACACGGAGGTATGTACACCCTGGGTAGACTGAAGGATATACTCAATCACACGGAGGTATGTACACCCTGGGTAGACTGAAGGATATACTCAATCACACGGAGGTATGTACACCCTGGGTAGACTGAAGGATATACTCAATCACACGGAGGTATGTACACCCTGGGTAGACTGAAGGATATACTCAATCACACGGAGGTATGTACACCCTGGGTAGACTGAAGGATATACTCAATCACATTGAGGTATGTACACCCTGGGTAGACTGAAGGATGTACACAATCACACGGGGGGATTTACCGAGGCTTCCATAGTTGTGGTTGAGTGGGTTAAGCGACTGACTTTGTGTGCTGGCGATTAGGTGCCTGACTGGTGTAGGTTCTAATCCCGGATAGGACCCACTTCAACAAAAGTTCTACAATCTGAACTTTACTGAGAAAGTGTCATCCCAAATATAACATCCATTTGTTAGTGGTACAGTGTATTCATACCCCGTGATCTAGCTGATCTAGTACTGCATATGCTGGCGAATAACGATCATTATTCTCTGTATTGATCAAGTATCACTCAAACATGCAACCAGCATCTTCATTTGTTTATCATTTCAGAAGTTTTGTGTTACATCAGGCGGCGTCCAAACGCTATATATACTATTCACAGTATGCTAAGGATCAAATCATGTATTCAACAGAACACTATGATGTGGAGTCAAATTTGGTTTAAATATCTAAGTTTGTTGTAAGCATGGTTCCTAGGTTTCACTATGTCATTGCATCTCGTGGATTCCATACCTGCTATTTACAGGTGTTGTTTATTTGTCAATGACTCGTTCCATGATTTGCAAAATGGTTGATTGGTGCCATGAAAACCATTTTTATGGTTACTCATGTATCAAGTGCATAAGGTTAGAATAAAGTGGCTGTCTGCCTGAGGAGGGGTTACCATATCATTATTTATCCAGTTTTAAATGGATACAATTTCATATTATAAATCTAAGTTTAAGTAAACTTGTGAATATTTGTGATCCTTATCAAAGTGTGAGTAGTATATAACCGACATACGCTCAGAGAGTCGTTATACCTCAGTCAATAATGAAAACACTATTTCTTTTTCAGAAAGTCATCGATGTTCTTAAAATGGACATTGAACGATCTGAATGGTCATCACTGCCGGAAATGTTGGCGTCCCAGAGTCTGTCCTCGGTCCGGCAGTTGCTTGTAGAGTACCATGACCAGTGTACAGACCGAGACCAGTGCATACGGAGGTTGAAGGTGTTAAAAGATGTGCATGATTTAGGATTCAGGAAATTTTATGTCCACAAAAATCCTGTATGCCAAATTAAATCGACTTTATTTCCTGTAGTCCGCACACAATGTTATGAAGTTCACTACATAAATACACGTTTAGAAGTGCAGTGACATTCTGGATTGTGAACAGGCATTATATGATTATCTAAAAAGTGTTTGGTTGCCGTCATGTACGATCAGCTCCAGATTATTAAAGAGTAGGTTTTGTTTGTTTCTTGTCATAGCTATATGTAACTGAATTTGGAACAGGCAATCCTGTGTGGACATCACGAGCACTGATTTACGCAACTGGGACACTATGACGTGGATCAGCCAAATCAGCGGGTCTGATCACCCGATCCCGTTAGTCAACTCATATACCAAGCATGGATTGTTTAAACCAATTCTCACCCGGATCGTCACAGCTTGTGTCAGGGCAGCTACTTAAAGCATGTACATTTATTTCAAATTTACTAAAAGAAACACTTTGCTTTTTATTCGGGGTTTCACCGTTCAGAAGCGTTGTCTTGTCAACAATAGGCGCATTCGCATCCGATGTTACGACTTTCACATGTTGTTCGGACATCGCCTTACCTACTGACACTTACGTACTTAAAGACAATTGTCCTGATTGACAGGTGCTGCCGGTACAATAGGACACGTTTACCATTTAGCGAACACCAGGTGTCATTATTGATTCTCAGCATTCCAACCAGGAACACCTTTAGACTGCAGCACCACAACTACTCGTGGCAGACCACCAGTCATATCACATTCACCCAAGGCTTGTACGCCCTGTGGAATCTGTTCCGGCAGATAGTCGGCACTGGATATTAGGTGACCTTGACGTCTCTGCTGGAGGCTGTGCAGGGGGGTGATTATAGTTTACTGATTGCGTCACAGAATTATTCGATGAGTGAGGGAGTTTAGTTTTACGCCGCTTTGAGCAATATTCCAGCAATAGCAAGGCGGGGACACCGGAAATGGGCTTCACAGATTGTACCCATGTGGGGGATCGAACCCGGGTCTTCGGCGTGACGAGCTAACGCTTTCTCCACTAGGCTACCCCACCGCCCCTTATTCGATGAAACATTGTTTGGTCCAGATTATAAACCACTACATGCATGTGCCTATATACACCCAGAAACATCTCCCTGCTACACCCAACCACAGCAGTCAGCTTAAAACCTCACGTAGGTTTACCAGTTGTATGTATCGTATGTGGTGGATATTTAAATGCAGAAACAGTATCTGCTTATTTTGTTGAAGATGATATTACTAAACACATTGCAAAGAAAACCCATCACAGTCAGATTGTATCTTTGATACTTATTATCTTAAACGATTCTTTGAGAACAGGATCGTAAACAACTTTGGTAAATGTTTTCAGTACTTACGTTCTGAGCTAACTATGCATATTATGGACGGACCTTGTGGTCCTGACTCACAGCTTGGAGATCATACATGGACACAAACAGTGTAATGCATCATTTCTGGTGAAGTACAATCAGATACTGATGCTAGGTGCCAGCGATTGGCTTGGCAGCCGTTACAAGCACATGTAGTGGCTATTTGATAAAAAAAACCACGGTACTTTTATTGGACATCATTTGATGACTATATGCGTCAAAGCTGGAAATGTCCGCATATGTCCACAAAACCTTGTGAAAACCTTACTGATGCTTTTAAAAATGTAACCCTGATCAAATGCCTTATGAGGACAAGAGTCTTATGGTACCCTTTCAAGTCTTCGAGGTACAATGTGTGAAACCCATTTTGGGTGTGATATTGCTGGAATGTTTCTAAAAGCGGCATACAACTAATTTCACACACTCATTCAAATCTTCGAAGAAAGAGAAACCCCAGCCTACGAAAAGTGAAAACCAAATAAAGGGGTGTAGGCTGGAGTTAATAGAAATCATCACAATTCCAACTTCGAAAGCAATTGATTAACTCGTGGTTTCATCACCACATAAAAGTGATTCTGTAAACATATTAGGAATGAAGGCATGAATACTTTACGGATAACAACTTATTACTGTAAGTAACAACAGTTCGGGGACTACTTGTACAAAGTGAGCTCAGTGCTACGATGATCGTAACCCCCATACTCTAACGGAGACGTAGGACAGTCTTACTGTTACGATGGTCGTAGCCTCCATACACTAACATAGACGTGAGACGGTCTTAATGCTACGATGATCGTATCCCCCATACTCTAACACAGACGTAAAATGGTCTTAGTGCTACGATGATAGTATCCCCCATACTCTAACACAGACGTAAAATGGTCTTAGTGCTACGATGATCGTATCCCCCATACTTTAACACAGACGTAAAATGGTCTCAGTGCTACGATGATCGTATCCCCCATACACTAACATAGACGTAAGACGGTCTTAATGCTACGATGATCGTATCCCCCATACTCTAACACAGACGTAAATGGTCTTAGTGCTACGATAATCGTATCCCCCATACTCTAACACAGACGTATATTGGTCTTAGTGCTACGATGATCGTATCCCCATACTCTAACATAGACGTAAGACGGTCTTAATGCTACGATGATCGTATCCCCCATACTCTAACACAGACGTATATTGGTCTTAGTGCAACGATGATCATATCCCCCATACTCTAACACAGACGTATATTGGTCTTAGTGCTACGGTGATCGTATTCCCCATACTCTAACACAGACGTACGATGGTCTTAGTGCTACGATAATCGTAGCCCCAATACTCTAACGGAGACGTAGGACAGTCTTACTGTTACGATGGTCGTAGCCTCCATACTCTAACATAGACGTAAATGGCCTCAGTGCTACGATGATCGTATCCCCCATACTCTAACACAGACGTACGATGGTCTTAGTGCTACGATGATCGTATCCCCCATACTAACATAGACGTACGAGGGTCTTAATGCTACGATGATCGTATCCCCCATACTCTAACACAGACGTATATTGGTCTTAGTGCTACGATGATCGTATCCCCCAAACTCTAACACAGACGTATATTGGTCATAGTGCTACGATGATCGTATCCCCCATACTCTAACACAGACGTACGATGGTCTTAGTTCTACGATGATCGTAACCCCCATACTCTAACGGAGACGTGGGACAGTCTTACTGTTACGATGGTCGTAGCCTCCATACTCTAACACAGACGTTAATGGTCTCAGTGCTACGATGGTCGTAGCCTCCATACTCTAACATAGACGTAAATGGTCTCAGTGTTACGATGGTCGTACCCTCCATACTCTAACACAGACGTTAATGGTCTCAGTGCTACGATGGTCGTAGCCTCCATACTCTAACATAGACGTAAATGGTCTCAGTGCTACGATGGTCGTATCCCCCATACTCTAACACAGACGTAAAATGGCCTTAGCGTTACGATGATCGTATCCCCCATACTCTAACACAGACGTAAAATGGTCTTAATGCTACGATGGTCGTATCCCCCATACACTAACACAGACGTAAGACGGTCTTAATGCTACGATGATCGTATCCCCCATACTTTGGACAGACGTAAAATGGTCTTAGTGTTACGATGATCGTAACCCCCATACTCTAACACAGACGTAAGACGGCCTTAGTGCTACGATGATCGTACCCCCCATACTCGAAGATAGGCGTAAGGCGGTCTTAGTGCTACGATTGTTTTGTGAAGAGGGCCCAGGACTGTGTTGCTGCCCCTTCACAGGGGACATTTTCAGTACGCTTATCGGTGTAATATACATCATTATGGACGTGCGTAATTATCGGACTCGTGCGAGAGTAATATCCAATGATGATAGTTAGGCCTTTTTCCGGCTTCACGTATGCTCCTGAAACCTGTAGGAATGTGATCACTGGAAACATGAAGCGAGTCCTAGTGCTTACATAAGTGAAACATCTGTTCTACACAAAGGTAAATGCAAAGTAATATACAACGTAGTAAACGGTCACATGACAATCCTGTATGAGAACATTTTATGTGTTGTGGTGTACGTAAAGAAATACATATTATGATTATGACTGTGTTACACTGAAAGGTAACACATCTTCCTGGGATGCTTTAGGACAGAATCCCAAAGTATGTAAATTGTTAGTATCGGATATCACCTGAGCCAGCGTGCACTTACCCCCACCCACCACCCACCCCAGAGAACACCCACTGGTGCAGTCCGGTCACACCCGTTATTAACTGACCATTTCCTTTCCATCCATGCATCAGTTTAATCTCAAACATATTTCCATGTACATCCATGTCATCGTTGTACTGGTGAGTCTCGTTGTACTCGTCACTCTCATTGTACTGGTGAGTTTCAATGTACTGGTGAGTTTCAATGTACTGGTTAGTATTTCGTTGTACGGGTGGGTCTCGTTGTACTGGTGAGTTCCGTTGTACTCGTCACTCTCATGTTACTGGTGAGTTTCATTGTACTCGTCACTCTCATGTTACTGGTGAGTTCCGTTGTACTCGTCACTCTCATGTTACTGGTGAGTTCCGTTGTACTCGTCACTCTCATGTTACTGGTGAGTTTCATTGTACTGGTCACTCTCATGTTACTGGTGAGTTTCATTGTACTCGTCACTCTCATGTTACTGGTGAGTTCCGTTGTACTCGTCACTCTCATGTTACTGGTGAGTTTCATTGTACTGGTGGGTCTCATTGTACTGATGAGTTTCATTGTACTGGTGGGTCTCATTGCATCGGTGAGTCACATTATACTGGTGGGTCTCATTGTACTGGTGAGTTTCATTCTACTGGTGGGTCTCATTGTACTGATGAGTTTCATTGTACTGGTGGGTCTCATTGCATCGGTGAGTTACATTGTACTCGTGGGTCTCATTGTACTGATGAGTTTCATTGTATCGGTGAGTCTCATTGTACATATCTACTTCACTATCACATTTATTCTGCGAATGCAAATGTTAACAAAGTTTTAGTAAAAAAAGGAACTCGACAAATACCAGTACAGAATGACAATTTATTTCTATATTAAGAAAAAGAAGAATCTATAGCATTCGTGTAACAATGATCAATAGAAAGAATGGTCTGGTACCAAGGTAACCTTACAATGAAAATGTCAGTGAAGGCACCCCAAGCACAGCTACAATTTGAAGTATTTCAGATCATGCATTATAACTAAACTACAACAAATAACGCGCCTTGCTGCTCTTTCCTCCCCTGATAGCGCGCATGTCTCACGCAGCTGCAGGAGTTGTTAT